GAAAAACCAGGGTCCTTGTAGCTTTTATTACCCATTGTGCTTGAGATAACGGAGAAGTGGGGGGTCAGGCTTTCCCTTCTTCCCCCCCCCTCCCCCAAAAGGCAGGCCCTCCCTCCTTTGGGACGTCCGACGAAGCGAGATAAGTTCCAATAGAGGATCGATTATCTGCCCTCATCCCTGTTCGCCAAGATCAACCCTACGGTAAGCAGGTAGGTAGAGCATGTATATGTGTGTACTCTACTGGATGGAAAGCCTGCCAACTGCTGGCGCCTGTTGTTGTTGTTGTTGTTGCTGCTGCCCATTTGCCCTCATGGCACTCCCTGTTCGCCTGCACCACATTGACGATGAATTACCCTCACACACACACACACACACACACACACACACACATACATGTATACACACACATATAGTATATGGGGCCCGGCATTCACGCAGCCTCACCCGCGGGCCCGCCTGTTCTGTTGCCTCTTATTGGCCTGCAACAGGCGATGCGTTGTCCCTCGTCGCGTCACCGACCGTGTCTCGTTGACATGCCATGCCCCACCGTCAGTCCAACGCAGCACTGCCTTGTGGCAAGATGGCTCATGGTAGCCCACCAAGCCATGCTCTTGCGAGGAGAAACACAAATTGGGTTTGTACAGTAGCCGTGTAGAGTACGATGCACCTGCGCAAAGAGAGGCGAGCCATAGCCCTGCATAGTACAAAGGCACATTCCTCTGGGCTGCCACAGCTCACCTCACTCGGGCCGATGGCATCGTAGGCTGCTTTTATACAATGTACCTACGTGCTATGGCGGATGCTGAACTGCTGTACCGATAAGGTACCTGGTACTCTTCCACTACGTATGTGCATCTCGCCTCGTTGCAGCGTTGCAGAGTGGGGAGAACTACTGTAGCTATCTGCACCGGTACCCAAGGAGACATCAGACATCACGATCGATTTGGAGACAAAAGGCCACAAACGTGATCCGTCAATCGAGGCTCAGCATAGCTGCTGACTTCCAAACGTTTATGCAATTGGGCATCTGGCAAGCTTGGTGCCCTATGGATTCCATCCCATGGCACATGAGGATGGTCTTACCATTGCGAAACAGGCAATACCGGTAGGGAACAGCGGAAGCCTTTTGTGCATGGCATCCATTTTGGGCATTCTGCTCCAACCTCCAACGGAGCAGAGGTAGTACAGTAGGCAGTACAATGTACAGAAGGTACACAGCAAAACATCATCTTCCATGATCACTGCGCCGTGTGCTTGCAAGCGCAAAAGAACACGTCGAGACTCGAGTCAAGAGTACAATCCCGGCAGCACATCATGGCCCATTGTCGTCGATCTCATGGACTCATTTCGATCAAAGACCCCGTCGAAACTCTACCAGAGCAATCCGACAGATGTGAATGAACCTGCAGGCGGAGAAATCCCTCTCGTCCGTCCTACCTGTTGTTTTCCCAGAAGCCCAGCTGGGCAGCCCCTGGAAGCCTGGAGCCAACTGGCGGGTCGTTTTGGTCACGTGAGTTCGTGATTAGCGCTAAGATCACATGCTAACCACTTTCTTCCCAAGCCTCCCAGCTTGCACTCAACCCAATTTCTTCTCCACTGAATCAGGTAGGTAGATTGGGCGTCTCACAATCTCCACATGTTCTCGGGTTTTCTAAAAGCACGACTCTATGCATCTCCTTCGCCCTACTCTCCCTGGTCAGCCGAGGAGTCGATATTGTAGTCGGGATTGTCAGTTCGAGGGGCACAAGAATACCTGCGCCTACCATGTCCAGCCAAACAACATGCCCAATTGCTGACGTAGACCGCGCCCTCTCGGATTATGTCAACACTCGCGAAGACACTCTGAGAATTCGACGGACGTTATCAAAATACCTGACGTCCAGCCTGAGACCAGTAAACTCTGCGACCCAGAATCAACACCTCAATCATGAGATCCCATTCAATCTCTCAGTCTCAAGCACCACTCCTCCAGGCCTGAAAGGTCGTCGTTTTGAGTATCTCCAAGCTCTGCGCGCAAACAACCAGGCACGTACTCGGCATCGAGAATTACAGACTTCACTCCAGGATCTTCAAAATCAACAGAATGACAATAGTTCTATCCAAATAAAATCCCCTCACGACAATGAAGCCATCCAAAGCTATGTGTCGCTTCTCCGGCAACGCAAACGCTTTGCAGAACTTCAGATCATACAGGACAGCTTAGAGAAGCTTTTAATCGCGAAACCGCCGAGCACCTTGTCAGATCCGAGGGCTACCATTAAAGACGCAATTGGCGAGCAACCAGATCTGCCAGCAGAAAGCATTGAGCATCTTGCTGGCACTGCAGACGACCAGAGTTATATCTTCAGGCTGAAGCAAGAGGTACTCGAGGCGAAGGTCAGCATGGAGCGTGCACAAGATGCGAGAGCGAAGGCTCAAAGCCAGTCACAAGCTTCGCCTAGCCTACAACACCAAGTCATTGCATTGGGGCAGGCAAGAGACGAAATTGTCCACTGGGTACAGGGTGAGCTGGCCAAGCTTGAAGAGGAATCCATCTTTTTGGAAGATGCTTCGCCAATCAAACGTTCAACGAAGGAGGCCGAAGCACCCTTAGATCTGGCGTCAGCTGAAACCCGCATTCGAGAAGCATACAACAAGTATACATCTTCTCGGGCTAGTCTCCTCGAAGCATACGAGAGCCTACACCAAACACCGCCGACTCAGGGATCCGGTCATGATCAGAGCAGTGATACTAAAGCCGGTGCTGAAAAGGAACCAGACGCATCAAAACCCATCATGCCTTTTGCAAAGCTCATGCCCTATCTACCGCACCTTACGCAGACTGCGAACAGCGATCGAGCACTATTGCAGCAATCTGTCTATATCCAGAATCAGATTACATCTGCAGATCAAGAGATAGAAGAAGCCTTGCTTCGCCTTTCTGGTGAGAGCCATATGCTACCAGCCGGCTCCAAGGACATCAGTGCGTGGGGCCAAAAAGCTCAGGAAGCCGAGACGAGAACGGAGGAAGTGGTCAAAGAGCATCTACAGGCAAGTCGACAGGAGATCAGCAGTGTGACTGCTATTGTGGATCTTTGTTCTTTACAGAGCAAGGTACTGGAGGTAACATGATTCATCAAGTGCATGTTGAAGCTTCTGGGCTGCTTGGGCGGAAACGAACTGTTTGCTGCTATTGTCACAGTGAAAAAAAAATACAATGATCAAAAAGGGTCGACAATGTAGTGCCTTGCTCAGATGAGCGGAAACCCTTCAGGTGAAAATTGTGTAGTACCGAGACAAGAAAAGAGGTAGCCTCACATGAGTCAACCAACGGTTTCCCACTTACTGTTTCTCATGTTGCGCATAAATGAAATTCGCTGCAACAGGAAACAAGCCATTCTCGACCGCCCAATCTCTCACACCTCCCCTCTCCATCCCAGTACCCCAATGCTGCCGATCTTTCGGCTTGCTCAGATGCAACGGCTCCGTCGTCCTATTCTTCGGCGCAAAGGCCAAGAACACGTAGCGGTGTTTGCCCGTCTTCTTGGGCGGCCCAGGCGGCTTGTACTCGACCACATCATCCGGCCCTCCATCCTGTTTCGACGCTGTCTGCTCCGTGAGACCAAACTCTGGGAGTGGCAGAATGGACAAGGTTTCCTGAGAGATGGTCACGTTGGAGGCGATCCAGTGGCACATTTCGCTCCATTCGGGGTTGTCGCGAGATGGCGCATCCGGATCCGTGAGTGTGATTACATAGGTCATCTTCTGCGCCTTGTCGTCGCCAGCCACAGTGTTGGTGATGCCGTGCAAGACAATGTCTGGCTTGTTCTGTAGCTTCTTGGGCTTGATTGTGTTTCCTAGTTTCGCACTCTTCTTTGACCAGCTTACGGAGAGTGTGAGGCTTGGTAAGAAATCATCAATCACTGTGGTTCAGTTAGTGGTTTGGAGAGATCGACTGGTTGTGCCTGACGTGCCTGTTGGGATAATCTCTGCCTTCTTCAGCCTGGGTTGGTCAGTCACGATTGCTTTGATCAAAATACTATGCAAGTGATTTACTCGGCTCGAACAGCTTGGACACTATCCCAACTGTGGTGGCCTAGAGGTTGTTGTTCTGTGGGTAACGCGATAGCAGTTCCGCAGCAGTGCAATAGACAGGCAAGACCTAAAGCCGTCTTGTGTAGATGCATCTTTTAATTCTTTGTCACAAGTTACTGAAACAATCTTTGTGTCTAGAAACTTTGGAAAAGTAGGCAAGTGCTTCTTTCAGTTCGTTGATTGATCTGCAGTACTTGCAAGGTGATGATGGTAGTCGTGCGACATGCTTCATAGTATGTTGGGGTTTCCTCCACAATGTCGTCATTCTTGCAGATCTCCGATCCGATTGCCTACCTACTCGGGGCAATCATGCTGATTGGGTGACACCAACTGCAGCCAGCAACGAGAAGTTTGAATTTGATATAAAAATTATTCATAGTGACACGTTAGGGTACACCAATAGACACGCTGAACAATATGAAGAGATCACGCCAAATAGACCATGTACATGCTTCAAGAGGCTCAATATCCTTCAAAGTGCTCGCTGATGCGTGCGTCGCAGAAGGCACGGCTGGTAGTGACGAAGCCCATGTTTGTAGAGACTTGATACTCGGTGAGCTCCTGAGAGCCTCTGCCCGTCATAGTTCCAGTGCAGTCTTTGAGGAGAACGCAGTCCCAGCCGTACGAGTACGCATCAGACACCGTGCCGAATACGCACTGATCCGTGTTGACACCAGCAAATAATAGCGTTTGCTTGCCAGAGGCCCGAAGATACTCATGGAGAGGTTCCTGAGTGGACCACAGACCACTCATTCGGCTCTTGTCGAAGAAGAGGTCACCGGGTAGGGCAACGGCCTTGAAAGGGTCGTAGAGATCTGCATTCCAGGTGCGCTTGAACAGGCATCTACCTTGGTCTTCCGGTAATTGGACGCCGAGGCCAACGTGCCAGCCCAAGGTCTTGCTGAACCCTCGTTGGATAGCGGGCGCCATGGCCTTGATGTCTTCATCTGTGATACCCCAATTGAGCCAAGCAATCTGGATGCCCTCTTTGCGGCATCGTTCAATCACTTCCAAGGTTGGCTGAATGGCGGCTATTCCAGCTGCATGATCGCGGTATGTAGGATGAACAAAGTAATTCTGCATATCGACCACAATCAGAACAGAAGTTCCGGCATCGATCATAAGTCCTGTGTGGCGATCATCCACGTTGCATTCCAAGACCATCTTCTGCTGCGACCCCCGAGAGAGGTCGAACTTCTTGGTGGTTGGCATATAGAGCCATTGTTCTTCGCCTCCAAATGGGATAGGAGCAGTGCACTTGATTGTACCAACTGTAATGTCGTTTTGGTCTTGATAGTCTTCGGTTTTAGTGAGGAGCAAACAGTCTGAGGCCATGAGGATATGGCCGGGAAAAGTGTGTAGGTGTTGGATTTTAGCAGGTTGTGACCCGAATCAAAGTCGAGGCACGATTAGGGAGAAGCAAATCAAAGAAAGAGGAGGCTACGCTAGGCTTTGTACCTTGCGGTACGATTGCACTTGCTCCCCTTTGTTTGGCGATTGACCTGATGACAGAGCTTATCACAGTGCGATAGGCTTCTGTCGGGAAGGAAATACTTGGTCATGGGGTACGACTACGAAGACGGCGTATCTGCCAATTCACGCCTACCTATCACCTTGGAAGGAGAGCCGAATGATAGGCATTCAGGATTACCCATGAACCAAATTCACATGTACTGAGCTAGTGCCTGCAAAGTCATCGAGACCGGACTCTCTTCCCAGAATCTGGAGATATGGGCTGAGGGGGAATGATGTTTATAATTTGGTGGTGTCGCTTGTGGCCGCGTCTTAGTATGCACAAAGAGATAAGGCTGATCGGGGTAGCCTGGTAAGCTGGGACTGATAGGTAGACGGATATGTACCTAGGTAGGTACCTAAGTGGTAGTACCTGGCTGTCGCTCGAGTGCTCCGTACCGTACCGGTAGCTACCCGAGCCAACCTACCTACATACTTACAGTAGGTAGACGACCTGCTGGGGAGCGGGGAGGACGGCAAGACGGGCATGTAGGATGGATGGCGTTGAACAGGCGGTGCAGGTCTGGTAGAGATGACTCAATCGCATCCTTGATGACAACGCATCCTAGCCCTGGTCTGGTGTTGGTGAGTTGGTGAGCATTAAGCGAAGAGCCGCATGCGTCGTGCGCGGATGCAAGTTGCAAAGCCTGGTAGTAGAAGAGCAGCAGTAAGGTTGCGGGAGTACCTGGACAAGCATTCATGGGCACAGAACTCGAGAGTCGAAAGCGGTGCTTGTCCATGGCAGGGCTTAGCTATGTATTATAAGAGTAGATTCTAATCAGTTCAATGCTCTCTACGTTTGATGCAGATGCTTGTCCAGTGCTAGGTATCATCTATGTACATAGTATGTAGAGTCCTGTGTTACCTTCATTGCACGTGCAAGTGCGGTCCTTTGCCCCTGGCTGGGAAGGCTTGCAGTTCCCATGCTACGATATCATACCTAAATCCGCGGGTGTGAATGAAACTCCTACAGGGGGCGGTAGCGGTATGGTTGTGCTGGCTGGCTGCTGCAGACGGTGTGCTGTCTCCATTATGCGACGAGCCAGCATTGACATGGGGCATGGGCTTCTTGAGATTCAAGGAGAGATGCGTGGATGCGAATGTTTGGTGCATGTGTGGGGTCCCATCACGTGCCAGGCCTTTCCCAATGCGCGCGACCTTGGAAGATGAAGTCAGGGCCTTCGCCATGACGACGCAACAACTGCAAGACAGCTAAGTCCACCACGAAGCCTCTGTGCCCCCCCAACACCCCCAACGCAGCTCGCCATCCGCCACGCTGCACCCACCGGTCCTCACTCCAAACCCATCGCACATTCACCCGGCGTTGTGGCAAAACGGCCCAAACGCTCCCCCGTCCTCTCAACATTCCAAAAGGGCCGGGGTTGTTTAGCTTGAGAAAGCGTGGTCAGGAGCAGACGACCACCACCACACTCATACACACACACATACACACCAGCCAGCGCTATGGCGGCCCTGGGCGAGGAGCTGCTCAACATTGTCAAACCGCTCCAAGACTTGGTCTTCAACACGATTGGAAATGATTCCTCTCACCCTGCCGCAGAATTTACGTCTCCACTCACGCGGACAGACCGCCCATGAAAAAAAGTCGGCCGTCTTGTCTCGCCCCGACATCATGACCATGCATTTACAGGCAGTACTGACGGGTGTATATAGGTGGTCGTAGGGTCGCAATCAGCCGGAAAGTCATCTGTCCTGGAAAACATCGTGGGCAGAGACTTTCTCCCCCGAGGAAACGGCATCGTCACTCGTCGACCGCTCATTCTGCAACTGATCAACCTGCCCAGTGAGCGCGACGAAGACGAAGACGAAGAGGTACACGTACCACACACTCCAGCGAGTGTATCTGGACAGCAGGAATGGGCCGAGTTCCTCCACGTGCCAGGACGAAAGTTCTATGACTTCGCCGAGGTTCGACGCGAGATCGAGAACGAAACCTCGAGGATAGCAGGAAACAACAAGGGTATCAACAGGCAGCCCATTAATCTCAAAATCTACTCGCCACATGTTCTCAGCCTGACACTGGTCGATTTGCCTGGTCTGACCAAGGTTGGTGGGCCATCTTTTTTATGCTACGACTATGGCTGATATGTACAGGTCCCCATTGGCGACCAGCCTACCGATATTGAGAAGCAGACTCGAAATCTCATTACCGAGTACATTGCGAAGCCGAACAGCGTCATCCTCGCCGTCTCTCCCGCAAATGTCGATCTTGTGAACTCGGAAGCGTTGAAGTTGGCTCGCCATGTAGACCCTATGGGGAAGAGGACAATTGGTGTCCTCACCAAGTTGGATCTCATGGACCATGGAACTAATGCCATGGACATTCTGTCTGGGCGTGTCTATCCTCTCAAGCTTGGTTTCATTGGTATTGTCAACCGATCACAACAAGACATTCAGGGCAACAAATCCCTTGCAGATGCGTTGGGAGCGGAGCGAGAATTCTTCAGACAACATCCAGCATACAGGAATATGGCCAGTCGATGTGGTACGCAATACCTTGCCAAGAGTCTCAACCAGACCCTCATGGCCCACATCCGAGAACGATTACCGGATATCAAGGCACGCCTGAATACGTTAATGGGGCAAACCCAGCAAGAACTTGCCAGCTATGGCGATGTCACGTTCACTGGCAAGGAACACCGAGGCTCGCTCATCCTCCAACTCATGACTCGTTTTGCCTCATCCTTCATTGCCTCCATCGACGGAACCTCGACCGAAATCTCGACCAAGGAGCTGTGCGGTGGTGCCCGCATCTACTACATTTTCAATTCTGTCTTTGGCAACTCGCTTGAGCAAGTTGACCCGACTACGAACCTCTCTGTATTGGACATTCGTACAGCCATCCGAAACTCTACTGGCCCTCGTGCTAGTTTATTTGTGCCCGAACTAGCATTTGATCTTCTCGTGAAGCCTCAGATCAAGCTTCTCGAAATTCCAAGTCAGCGTTGCGTCGAGCTTGTCTATGAGGAACTCATTAAGATCTGTCACACGTGCGGTTCTACTGAGCTCACACGGTACCCCCGCTTACAAGGAAAGCTGATCGAGGTCGTGTCCGATCTCCTACGCGAACAACTCGGACCCTGCTCGTCATATGTAGCTTCATTGATCGATATCCAGAGGGCCTACATCAACACAAACCACCCCAACTTCCTTGGGGCCGCCGCCGCCATGTCGTCTGTCATCAACGACAAAGAGCAGAGGGAAAAGAAGATTGCGATGGAGCAAGAGCAAAAGAGACGAGCACAAAGGAGAAAGAAGGAGCTCAACGGGGTAAATGGGGAGGTTACTGAGGAAGTTGGTGAAGAGGTCGAGAATGGCACGTCGAAAGCACTTCCTCTCCGGAAACATCAAAACCAGAATAGCCGCAGCATGTCTCCAGCAGTTGGACGCATGATGAACGGCTCTCAAAGCGCGATGGCTGGTGCACTCAACAGTCGCAACCGATCACCACCACACTCTGCCACACGCGACAGCTTCCTAAACTACTTCTTTGGCAAGGATGGCAGTACTCAAGCCACACCCCAACAAGCAGCACAAGCAGCGCTTGACAACAGGCCTGGAAGCCGACATGTCAGCCAGAACAGCGAGCCTAGCTTCGCACAAAGTATTCGAAGAGGTGACACCAGGCAACCCACTCACGTACTGGAGATGATGCCCAATGATGACGACGACGATGCTCAGTCTACCATCATGAGCCCCGTCCGTGAGTCGCATGAGGGCGGCTTTGTAAGTTTGATTCACTCTCAGGCTACTGCCAACCTATGTACTAACTGCTCATAGCCATCCGCCCCCGAAGCTGCCCCCGCGCTCACAGAACGGGAGGCCCTGGAAACCGAGCTCATCCGCCGCCTTATTTCCTCGTACTTTAACATAGTACGCGAAACCACTGCAGACCAAGTACCAAAGGCCATCATGCACCTCCTAGTCAACCACTCCAAAGATGTAGTACAAAATCGACTCGTCTCCACACTCTACAAGGACGAACTTTTTGAAGAACTTCTTTATGAAGACGACCAGATCAAGACGGAGCGCGATAAGTGTGAAAAGCTACTCAAGACATACAAGGAAGCCGCCAAGATTGTTGGCGAGGTGTTGTAAGATGTGCAGTCGTATTTGTATAGGAAGGGATCAAGTAGGTTAGTGTAAGAAAATGTGCGTATACTTGAATGAGGAACCTAATCCTATCATCATGAGGGACGAGAGGACATGAAGACGGGAGGGAAACTCTTGTCTAGCGTCGCAGAATAGACAGGAAATATGCATGATGGTGGTATAAGCCGGCTACTATCTGACGAACACCAACAGCTTTGACAATGTAAATTGCATCGAATTGGCTGCAAAACCTCGTGATACTACAGTCTGTACTATGCTACTACGTTGATCGCAGCCTCCAGTGGGCTGTGGTTGCCTTGAGGTGGTGCTTATTTTCTGTTTGTTCTGCTAGATACCTACCATACACCATGTTATGCTGGAGGGGGCAGGGGGCAGGCACCCAACGCGCTAGTACGAAAGCGTGTTGGAGTAGGCGCCTTGCCACCATATAAACCCCTTTCCAGCACCCTCACAACTTGACCTCAACACAACCTGATCGCACGTGTCATTCCAGGCCTGCTACCACCCGTTGCGCGTATCGAATACTCGACTCACACCCATCATCCTTGCGAATTTCACAAAGCCTCTAGCGGATAGGGGGCAGGCGACACTGCTTTGCACTGAGCGTCCGTCAACTACCGTTAGCGGGGTGGGTTTCAGTTCGAGTATTAGGGTCGCGTACCCGGTGATGGCCTGGACGTGGCGCACTCGATCTACCTGTTAGAGTCAAGGCTGCTGGCGCAAAGTCTGGGTGGGCGGGATCCCTAGAGGTTTTTTTTTGTAAGTCTCCCGCATGCATATCTTGTTGGCTAACAATATGGGCTTTGACTCTGGAAAGAGCTTTGACTCTGGATTCAAGGCGCTCGCGTACCCTGCATCGATTCTCTCAGACGCCTAACGGAGAAAAGGAAGAGAGTTGGTTGCGACATGTGAGAGAGTGAGAGACACAAAGCGTGTTACGTCATTTCTTACTCTTCTGAAGTACCTCCTTGCCATTTCCTTTGGCTGTCGCAGGGTGTCTTCGGCAGGTCTAAATTTTTCTGTGAGCATATTGTCTGTACATTATAGAGGGGGGCGTGAGTAAACTGAGGTGTGGTAGTGTATGGTTGGTTGCAATGCATTTAGAATAGAAATATGAATCATTGTTGGCACACACCATACACATCAACATCTGTTTTAACTTTGAAGGGGTCCGTAAAGCATGTATATTGAAAAACGTGGGTCAAACTCTGCATCTCAACTTTACTCTACTGTACAGGAAGGTACAAAATACAAAGAGATTGTGACGTTTTTCCTCTCGTTGGCTGTCTTGCACCCAGTATTATTGACTGTATTGTTCTGCCATCATCAGACCCGGGTATGCATGTTGACTGGTTGAGGATGCCATATCTGCAGCCATTTCCTTGCCGATGGAATGTGCATTGATTTCATCTGCAGTTGCATCGATTCCGATGCTGCTTAAGCCTTGTCGGTTATGCCCAACAGCACGTTCAGGTCGGCGTTGGGGTCGTTAGGGTCTGCGCTGACTATTGCCTGTGTCAGCCATTGATCTTCCCATCGCACCTTGTCTGATCTGATGGAAGTTTCCACTCTCCCCCGTACAAAAACGGTTGGCGGGTATTGCACATACCTCCTGACGACTTTGGCTGTTCTGACGGGTGCTCCTTTGCCCACTGTTGCTTGGCCTCCTTGATTAACCTCTCCTTGCGCTCCCATTCCTTTTGCATGGCCTTTGCCCTATCCGCAGCGCTGAGGGACAATTGGTGGTAGGCGCCGTAGAAGACACCGAATCCGAGGGCGGACCATCGGAGGACCTGGAAGTGTATTCCATTAGCATCCCATCCTCTCATTTGTGGGCAGAGGGGCGTACGTTGACTCCGACGGATGTAGACATGGTCACTTGTGTCGTGCGAGGGCTTGCAGGAGCGGCTGCGAGGCTCGTGGGCGTCCAATGGCAGTTGAATCGGGGTGTGCGATGAGGAAGCACCGGATGCTAAAGGTCCGAGGGGGTTGGGTGTCGGGGTGTCGGTGGGCGGAGAGCGTGGGCAGAGATAGCTGGGGCGTGGGAAGCGTGGGAAGTTGAGGTTGGCGGACCTGGCGCAAGATTTGGCTGTCTCGGGATGATTCGCGAGCTAACTTAGGTAGTGGAGAGCGTCCCTGGATAAGCTTGGCGCGAACCATTGGATGGAGAGACAAACAAACGTGCGCTGACTGCCTTGTCTTTCCACGGCGCCTGTCTAGCTGTAGCTGTGTTGTTGCTTTGTACCTGGACCCAAAAAGAAGGGAAGACAACTGGGTGCTTTTGTGACTTCACCTGCGTTACCACACGATACACCGGCGACTTGTACTTCAACGCCATGGAGTCTACTGTGCAGCAACGCCGCGACGAGATCCTCGCAAAGAAGGCCAAACTTGCTGAACTGAAGAGGCAGCGCGAACTCAGGAGGCAGGAACAAGCAAACAGGCAGTCTTACAATGGCAGTCCTTCGGGCGAGGCGAGTCGTCCCACCTCTCTCCACCACACCGCTGCTAATAGTACTTCCATAGGTGCTGTCACCCATACCACGACGCAGTATAGACATCGAAGGAAAGAGAGCAGACGTCAACAATCTCATAAACAGCATCCTTAACGAAAGCCGGCCGAGCTCCACACAACCAGGCTCACCAGCCGGCCCAGGACGAGCAGCACGACCCGAATCCATAGTCAGCGCAGGGCAGTTGAGCAGCGACAATGAAGGCCCCACGGGTTATCCAGCCTCGCTTTCTAGCATGGTCGACCGCGAAATGCAGACCCTGTCCATTGGACCCCTAGCCACCGTCTACGAGTTTGACGGCCAAGTCACAAACGAAGTCACCAAGGAGAAGGAAGTTATCACATACAGCAAAGGTGTGCAGGCAAGCATAGAATGGAGCCCACACAAGACACGTGGAGCAGGAGGCAGTGATACAGAACGGGATGAGAGTCCCACGCGATCGCCCAAGAGCAAGCGACTAAGTCGGAGACAAAAAGAAAAGGACGAGGAGATTCGGATGCAGCTGCGCAAGGAGATTGAGGAGGAACTCAAGGCTGCTCAGCAAGCACCGCAGGACGGCGCGCCACAGACGACCTCGGAAGAGAACTTTCCGTTCAAGACGCTTACGAATGAAGAGTTGGCGGCCGTTGAGAACTCGGAAGAATTCATTGGTTTTGTGGAGCGCAGTACGAAGGTCCTAGAACGAGCGCTTGACCAACAGCTCGAATACGATATCCTCGCCGACTATGCGCTCGGCGGTGTCGGTGTCGATGATGAAGACGAGGGCTATGGTTCCAGCGGCGGCAAGAAGGGCCGCCGGATAAAGGAGATTGCACAATTCTGGGACGACCGGTGGAGCAAGAAGAGGATGATCTCGGACCTAGGCTTCTCGACAAAGGTAGGAACGAAATCCGCCTTTGTGACTAACACAACACTAACATCTTCCAGTTTCCAGAGCTCGTGCTAGCATCGTATACGAAGAATCCATCTGCTCCACACGACCCTGATGGCCTTGTCCAGGTCTGGAACCTGCACATGCACGACCGCCCAGAGTACATCTTCCACGCTCAATCCGACATCCTCACCGCAAAATTCTCCCCCTTTCATCCCAATCTCATCATCGGTGGCGCCTACTCAGGGCAAGTGCTGTTATGGGACACCCGCGCCAAGTCTGCCCCTATCCAGAAGACACCTCTGACAGGCTCTGGTCATACGCATCCTGTCTATTCCATCGACATTGTGGAACGCAAAACGCCAACAACATCATTTCATGCTCGACAGACGGTGTGGTCTGCGGATGGACAGTGGATATGCTCTCACAGCCACAGGAATTCCTCGAACTCACTTCCCCTCCTCCAGCCAAGACGGACGACATGGCTGTCACATGCATCGCCTTTCCTCAATCAGATCCAACCTACTTTCTTGCCGGTACAGAAGAAGGCTCCATATACCCCTGTCACCGTTACGATCGGGCCGGTGCTAAAGCCGGCGTCGATGGTCGCGTCAAGTACGGCGGCCATGCTGCACCTGTCATGAGTCTTGACTTTCACCCCGCAAAAGGACAAATTGATCTTGGAGACTTGGTTCTCAGCTCCAGCGTCGACTGGAGCGTCAAGCTTTGGAAGGTTCGACCCCCAGCCGCAACAGGCGCGGCAAACACCACGCTTCCCGGTACCGCTCAACAAGTCACGCCTGTCTTGGACATTGCGCGTGAAGATCTCGTCTACGATGCCCGTTGGTCGCCCGTCAAACCCTCTGTGTTCGCCCTCGTAGACGGAGCGGGAAGCCTCGAGGTCTGGGATATCAACGTCGATATGGAAGTCCCTATGCAATCTGTCAAACCTAGCGATGGGAAGAAGGGCGCGTTTGCGAATATGCCGACAGGGTTGGGGTATATGAATCGCAGTTTGAACAAGTTAGCGTGGGAGAAGAATGAGGGCAGGAGGGTTGCGGTAGGAGGGATGGATGGCGTGGTCACGGTGTTTGAGGTTGGGAATGATTTGGGTGGTGTGGAAACGAGGAGTGAGGAATGGAGTGGGGTGAAGAGGTTAGTCAGTCGGATGGAGGGTGTGGGTGAGGGCACTGGCAAGTGAGGAGAGGATGTTGAGAATATTGCAAATGAATAAGTGTGAGCGGGGGTGGTAATCGGAATGGAACTACAGAGGTGATGTTCATGAATGATCTTATCTATGGTAGTATTGGGTCTGTCTTTTGGCGAACATACCCCCTCAGTTCTCAATCGGAGTTATCAAACACACTGCTCTCACATCTTCATCTGTTTGATGATCTCCTTATCTGGACTTTTTTATGCATCGTCAATCGCCATGTCCACGGTTCTAATATCGGTTATAGCCTTCTAGGAGTAGAGTACAAATCTAACAATACCTGCAATGCCTCCTCACTCCGCACCCGTCCGCACCGGCCGTCTCTTCCGATCACTACTGACAACCCGTTCTCACTGACCATGCCAGGACGTGGCGTGACGTATTGATCAAATCAACATTCTAGATTCAAGGAACACGCATCTCGTACACCCCCAGTATTTCTCCCAATCTTCCAATCAAAACTGTCGAATGCGCACTGCCACAGACGCTCGCCACACCAACCTCATTGTGCCACTCCACGCCCGACATCATTTGATCCAACAGGTTTCTTTGCGTCCGAGGAGCAGTTGGGATGCAGGATGGGCGTCTTGGGATTACAATGTGTCTGGGTGGAGGAGCGCATGAGTGCGCCACTTAGGTATGAACACGCAATAAGCTGGATTGGAGACGCACCTACGGGTCCGCGGTCCAAAGTATGGAATATGCCCTGCCTCGACGTACATTCGTAAGAGGTGATACCTTCTGACATTTGAAATTGCAGGCTCAGTAAATTGAGCTGCTGCGATGTTTGCTTCATTCCTTACACTTCTATCGGCGCTCAGAGTGCCCACAATTTCTGTGGTGCAGAATGCTGGAGATGCCAAGTTGTATGTCTAGACTGTTCTCTCTCTTATCCCGGCTACGTTATCTGGGTGGTTTGTACTTTTGGTGTGCCTGGCTGATATTTACGATGATTTAGTGCGATCGATTCTTGTGTCCAGGCGGTGCAGATATACTTCCCTTGCGTGCCGCAAATACAGACGACGAACTATATGTATTTATATGAACGATATCTATGGGGACTTCTCGTGTGTCTATTCAGATAGCTGCCGGCTGCAATGCATGGTGATGTCGCTAATAGTTAATCGCGGATGCTTCGATGAGTCTGCGACTTCTACATCGCCACACGCCGATCGCAAAACCATAGCAGCCTATGCAACACGAAGTTGTCGCGCAGTAGGTAGCTTTGGCGCAAATATCTTAGAGTGTAAAAAACGGGTGCGTGGGAGACAAATTGGCAGTGTAATTTCCAGTATTGCTGGGGAAGTGACCGCGATACTGGCGAGCAAAGATGTCACAATCCCAACAGCTGTCATCACAAGCGCAATAAACGGCGTGATAAAGACTCTGGAACCCTCAGCGTCAACCGCAGAAGTCACAAGGGTTGCTTCCTCAATTGAAGCTGCAGCATCGAGTGCAGCGGACGTCAGTGTCACCATCTCGTTTGGTCAGTGCCACACGAACCTCCACAACCACGACGAAGACCGCTGTTCCAGTCGTACTCTCAACCGCAAGTTCCAAGCCATCCATTGGCATAGTTATCGGCGCAGTCCTCGGTGGCATCGGAATACTCGCCCTCCTCGGGATCCTCATCATGCTCATCCTCCGCCACAAGAGACGAAGAGCCTCATCACAAACTCCCGCCGACAAAGAAGCCAGCAGCCCAGCACATCTTTCAGTGACCTAAACCGCAGTTCAACCCTCATCAGCACATCTCCCCCCACATTCGACGCAGGCACCCCAACCCTCCCCGGCTGCACACTAGCAGGAAGCCCCGTTGTACCAGGAGCAAGTGCAGCAGGATACGACCCCTATCCCTTTGCTTCTCACACTCTGTACCAACAACCCGGCAACCAACACCATAACCCATATACAGAGGAGAAGACTGCATTTCATATGCAAGCCCACCGTCCCAATGGGAATGAAATGCCGACAAATGCGGACAAATGGGAACTTGATGGCAAAGAAATGGCACAACATCCGTAGGAATTGGGGACTGCAGATGTCGCGAATGTATATCAGGCCGCGGGCCTGTGGGGGAGAGACATTGTTGTCGATGGTGGTGGTGGTAGTGGAGAAGATCATGGGACATACCCTAGAGCTGCTCTTGGAGACGTGGGAAGACAAGGTCAAGAAGGAGAGACGAGTCTAAGAGAGCGTGAGTACTGTGGCAGTCCTGTTAGTCCTGTTAGTCCCATTGTGTTGCAGCGGAATTTCCGAGATTTCTGGTTCAACGTAATAGATTAAAACGATGATGTTTCCCTCACAGTGTTTTTTTTGTGCTTGAGGTTTGCATAGGGGATCATTGCGTTTCCAAACAAAATTACAGCATAAGCCATAGTCATAAGCCCAAAAGGATCACTATATGGAAATAGGTGACGAGCGGATTCAAATCGCATGCAGTACTTGGGAACCATGCCAAAGATGACGTCCATAAATTCATTTTGCCTAACCGCTCGCATGCAGTACTTGGGAACCATGCCAAAGATGACGTCCATAAATTCATTTTGCCTAACCGCTGCTTGCTACAATTTGTTACCAAGTACGCACCGCACGCTTGCAAAGCGAAAATCCTCAGATACTCCAGTGATGTTGCCCATGTTATTTAGCTGGCTTCGAGACATTGCTCTAGGCTTCATCCGACTCGAAACCATATTTTTTAACCCCAGAGAAGGCTGAAGATGCGACTTTGGCTTTGTTATCATGAGAGTCTTCTGCAGGACGTTGTGTATAATATTTGACGTTTTGATGCATCGCTTGTATCCGGTGATCGTTGGAGAGCTCAGTCTGGTTGAAGCCAAGGTCCATAGCCCCTGGTCCTACATAATTTCCTTTCGATGTGATCTTTTTGGTTGATTCCAGGACATTAGGTTGTAATCCGCTGAAACGCTCTGCGACTCCCTCCGTGCGGTGTTCACTAAATTCGATCTGCAAAGATTATTATGGATTCCTCGTGGTAGACTAGCTGTGCTAGGAGGCTCTCTTACCTCGCGATTCTGTTGCGCCATTGTGGAACGGGTTTGATGCCTTTGATGGCCTGGTTGCAGCAAGGATAGGGTATTGTGGATATGAAGAAGTTTTCGTTTCGTATCAAGCAGTGCCAGAGATGAAAGGATCTTATCCTTGTTGATGATAGGAGCCAAATTGAGACCCCAGACGATCTTCGGTCGAAAACAGTGAAGGATGTCGCAGGAAACACGGGATATGTCTAGCAAAATCGAAAGAAGGTGATCACTGTCGTCGATCTCGTTCTGCAGATAAAGTCGAGAAACGATGTCGAGCAAGGAACGGATGCTCTTCTCTTCTTCGTAATATGCGGAACTACCTTGGGTGAGTTCTGAGGTTAACTTTCTTAAATAGTGGATTGAAGAAACGCTATATACGACAATCTGGGACACACTGGCAGCAATTGAAATTGCTTCCATGATAAAAATAAGACAATTTGGACAGAGAGTAAGCAGCCTCCATAATATTCAAACTTATGCGTGACCCTTCCAATGCAATCATCAATTAGAAGTGTAGCAGGTATCATCAGGCTCTCTGAGCTTACTGCAAACGAGTGGGGCATGACTACCAAAATGCCTCAGCGACTACTGAAGGTTTTAGAATGGCTGCGATTGGAGGTGGTAAGCTCAAGGTATCATCGAGCTGCAGGAGAGGCAGCCGCTGCACCCCGGGCCCTATGCGAACCTTGCACGTCACACCGTACTTCCGGATAAAATGCAGATTCGGCTAGAGTATGAAAAGATTGGTCGAGGCTTGAATGAAAACCCTACCTCGAAGAGATAAGGCAGATTCTCATTTGTGTTGCCTGGCGTGCGGCATATGGGTAGCGAGGCAGACAGTCCTTCTTATTTGGGTACCATCATCCCGCCCAAGTCATTTGAGGATTGCCATAGGTGTTGGTTAGGTGGATTCGGAATTTCCCGTTTTCAGAGTGATGGTACATGTGTCAAAGCAACGCAGTCCGAGTCGCTGAACTTATACTCTGTGGTCCCCATGGCTTCCGATAATACCAAGACCCCAGACGACAATGCCGGAGAGCGACAGACAGATCGCTGTCGAAAGTAATGAGGTCTCTGGAACCCAGAAGATTGCAGTCAACGAAAACAACAATAACGAGAATGAGCATTATAATGTCATCAATGAACCCCAGCATATCACCACAGGCAACAATGGGTGGAGCCAACTTCTACACATGCACATAGCAACTGGGAGTTGGAAATTTGATTCGTCCATAGTCCTAGTTATCATTGTCATATTCATTATTGCCTACTTCTCCGTCAAGTCATCATCGCAAGAGAAGAGGTCTAACCCGGAGCCATCCGTAAGCCATCGTCTCTAGCAACCGAAGCAAGTTGCTAACCTCATAGAATGAGACACCATTATCTGCCAACGTAGAAGATTCACCATCATTCTCCGACTGCTCCTCGATCTTGAAAGATATCCTAACACCTTACACGCATCCTTCGTCAACACTGTCTTTCACACCCACGTTCACTGTCACTTCGCCCGTACCATCCTCAACCAAAGCACGGGACACTGCCACATCCACCTTAAGCCAGCAGGCCAATATCAATCCGTCCACGTCCACGCCCACAGCCTTCACAACTGCTTACCTACTCACCGCCGGCTCCTCTTGTACCACGGATAGCCAATGCTACGGCAAGATCTGCTATACACAGGCGTGGTCAAGCACTCGGTTTTGCTGTGGCCCAACAATTTGGGGTTGTCCTGGCTAGTACTGCGCAAGGAATAGTTACAATGATTGCTTGGATCCTTTTCCGTGCTCGTTGGTTTGGACAATGAGAATGTGTAATACTGTGTGAGGCGGTGGAACAGCTGGATGTGACATACCCATTTCTTGTGTATGTCTTCTTTTTATGTGGTACCGCTCATGAATACCTCAGATGAGCACTTGAGTAAAGAGTAAAGTTCTTTTTCCAGAATAGTCATTATTAGATAGATAGCGCTCGAGGGTTAAAGACTGCGAAGTTTAATCGACCAAGAGCAAATTATTACTACACCATCTGTTAGTCCATATAACCTTGACTTAATGCTATACGCCTATTGATTGTCCTACCGTGATTGCATTCATGAAAAAGGACACCATCTCTCACCCACCTAAACAGCCAGGACACCTGCGGCCGCAGCCAAAGCCCCCGCAAATCCCATTGTCCTCAGACCTCCCATACCTTCTGCAGCAGCGGCACTCTGCAGGCCCGCGCTGCTCATCGTCTCCGAGCCACTCGGATCAAAGCTCGCCTTGCTGATCGCACTTTGGATGCCTGGAATGACCGCGCCATCTGGCACCGAGGGGACTGTCGGTGGAGAAGTGGCGACATCGAGTCTTGACTGAGTGGCCGTGCTGGATAGGAGGTTCGCCGTGGATGGTCTGGTTGGTAGCGCGCTATTATCGACAATGAAGGGCTCGCCCCATGAAGATGTTTGGGCGGCTGTGAGACCCAACAGAGAGAGAAGGGGGAGGCAAAGGAAGGGCTTGCGCATGTTGAAGGAGATTTGGAAAAATGTACTAATATCCAGGGAGTTAGCTCTGATGTAGGGTTGGTAGAAGTTGTGATTTGTGAGATGCTGTCATTCCAATATATGTAATATTGACAAGAAAGAGGCACTCTCTCGCAACTATGTTAATTAGATATCAAATTGTCCATAGCGTGGTACAGGCAAAAGAATAAACCTACATGCGAGCAGCAGCGCCTATTTCCTCTGAATAGCTACCAAACCCCGGATTTTTCAGTCTTGTTTCCGCTCTTATTTATGCACATTGCATGTGGTTGGGTGAAGTGAGTTTAGTTGGTGGTCTTCGGCTCTCCGCATCCAAGTGCGGTCACCGAACCCGAGATCTGCATACCATATCTGGGGTTCAACGTAGAGGAAGAGTACGCGGGCCTATTCATATAGATTCAGAGAAGAAAAGGGGTAAATGGGAATGAGGAATGATAGTATTGGCGATAGATGGCTCGGAGTAACTCGCTGGTGATTCTACAAGTCGCAGCAGACGTGAAACAGTACTTAGAGCTCATCGAGGTAGCACATTGCTCATAAGAAAGACACTTCTTTATTTACATTCTTCCATCTTGATTCCTTATCAGCCTGATACAGCATAATTTGACGCAGGTACAATGTGTTCAAGAGACGTGACGCTCTCGGTGCCCTATAAACGATCAATCTGTAAGATCAATGTGGCCAATGAGAAATTCGTATGGCTTTGATTCGACAGAAGCCGAATTGGCAACAACCAATACCGCGCCGATAGGGGAAGCCGAGTGAGTGTGTATACTCATACGCTCAGGTAGTTTGAGAGTCACATGATTTGCCACTTCTACACTTAATCCAATTCAATGGCACAAGCCAAGTAACGTGATTCTCACAATAGCCAAGATTACCATTACCTCCTGGCCTGTTGGCATTGTTATCATGATGTTAGATCAAAGATTGATGAAGTCGGAATAGAAGACCATGATTCGCCATAAGCCTGACCACATTACTGGTGCAAGATTCATCTCGATACCAGCGAGCCTTGTAGAGTACGGTAGTTGTAGTTAGCGCTCAACCCCAGCCCTGCTTGCAAGCCATCATCTCTCTTCTCAAGACTTTCCCACCAGCGTTTGGTATTCCAGACCAGACATCCAGCCGTCCACATCCAGCCGTCCAAGTCATAGGTCCTTCAGTGCTCAGCCCCAGCCCCAGCACTGAAGGACTCGCTCAAATCGTTCTTGTGGTGTCGATAATCCCCAACCGGTGAGCGCAGTGTCCTGCCATCTACCCAGCATTATCAGCTTACCGCATGTGCTCTCCGCCTGGGCCGGACGTCTTCGCCCACCTCCCTGGCATTAGCGCACATGCAAGCCCTTCTCAGGGCCATTCGTTGCCCGTGTGATATGCAAGTGTGTTGAAGCGCAAATATGGCGCGCCACGCTGTACTACATGCCCAGCGTTTTGTAAATTGACTGCGCAAGTGGCGATGCAAGATTTTACTGGCAAGGGAGGGAGCGGCGGGCCTAACTTGGGAGATGTTGTGAGAATGTGAGAGTTGGTATTCTGCGATGATTTGTGCCTGTAGAACGCCTACGCATAGAGACGGTTGCTGAGTGTTGCAGGGTTGTCGTGATGGCAAGGTGGCGAGGAGCAGCGGGTGCGTGCAGATGCGCTGCGCTGCAAGGTGGAGTGCATGAAGTGTCCACTGTGGGGAAGCTGATGGTCAATCATGGTCACAGTTGTGGTTGCAGTTCAATAGCGACGTCGATCCGTCGTTGCAAAAGTTTGGTTCTGTGGGGATGATTTGCGCAGACGATCCACTGTCTGAGATCAGTGCGCAAAGCATTTCAGAATGTAGAATGTACTCTAGGTGATTGCTAGTAGTTGCTTTTGCATGGTACAGCGTACGTCAGGGAAAGCGTAACTTGGGTGAGCGACGCACATGCGACAGCTAGTCGTGTCTCATGGCACCATGACAGCATTGTATCACGGCATGGGGGTGGGATGTGGTGAAACCCACCTATCGTTGTCATCGATTGAGCACAACCTTTCGTCGCACACGATACAGAGACCGTGTCTACGGCAGATGCGGGCAGGAGGCCAAAGTAATTTGTCTTGTTTCACACTGGAAACAGCCAAGACAATGACGATGTATGCACACTGATTCTACATGATAGCATGGCGTGATGGATAGTATGATACGTCTGACACACCACCAAGGCGAACCCTAATCATAGGAGGGCAAGCAAGGTATACTATCTAGTGACACATAACTAGCACCACACGCACGGCACATGAGGGACGTTTCAATATTGTAATGGTTTCGATTTGGTTAACTTGATGCTACCCGCTGTACAAGACCTTTCTGCGCTAGACAAAGCAGTGTACAGCGTTATCCAACCTGTCAGGACACGGACATCAATGCTCGCGTGACTCATTAACAAGAGGCTGTAAACAAAGCCTCTGGGATATCTAACGCCACCTATACAGTATTACAAATAGATACTGGAGAAGACAACACTGGCAGACGCTTATGCGAGGAAAGCGAAAGCAGCGATGGCACCAAAAATGACAGCGATGGGGCTACCAGCCATGGAGGAGGCAGCACCAGTGCTCTCGGGGATGCCAGCAGTGTTAGTCGAGCTGGGGCGGACAGCTCCAGTTCCAGTAGGGCTGAGAGTAGCGGTGCTGATAGTAGCGTTGGTGCCAACCGATGGGCTGATGGTAACAGAGGCCTGGACGGAGGAGACAACGCTGGCGGCAGAGCTGCTGTGAGGCGCAGACGAGGCAGCGGCAGAAGAAGCCTTAGAAGCGGGAGCGGATGAGGCAGCGGATGAAACAGCGTCGTCGCCACCGGTCAGACCGAACTGGGCAGAGTAGTTGACCTGGTCACCACGGCGAATCTCAAGCGCGTAGTTGGGCTGGTTGGGCAGATCATCATCAACAGTCCAAGAAAACTTTCCGCCAGTAGCAGAAGCTGCAAGAGAATGAGCATGCGTGAACTGTGGTCTTGGGAATGACATGGCTTACTGGTAAGGGTGCTAATGGTGTTGAGGTTGGTGGAGGGACCTTGACGGAGAATGAAGGTGGTGGGCACGTCGTCCGCTGGGGAGTAGGTGACCTCGTATGTACGACCACCAACAACGCCGTCAGCAGGGAAGGAGTTGATGGCAATGTTCTGGGCGATGGCAGCAGCAATGAGGGCCGCGCCAGCAAAGATGGACTCGAAACGCATGTTGAGGGTGGTGGACGAGGTGGTGATTGATTGTGGTGATTAGGATATTAGACGTAGACAGTGGGTATTATAGTAGAGAACGAATGTATTTGCTGCGTCTAGGAGCGAGAGTAGGCGTGAGAGAGAAGGAGACGAAAGTCGTTGACGGGCGGCGGGTTGGGGTATATGAAAGAAAGGGCCTCCCAGCGCTGGGCAGGCTGACAATGGCAGAAGCTAGCGACAGACTGCGACAGGCCCAAGCAACGGCAAAGAATGCAAAATTGACTGCCCGAAGAAGCATGGTTGCAGCCTCTCCACTAACAAAGATCAAAGGCCATGGACCCAATCGGTGAATTGTAATCGACGCTTGCACATGAGGCCCCCCTTTTCTTTCCTTTCCCAGAGGACTCGACGCGCCTCGCCTGTGAAAGGGCTTGGACTAGCCCAGAATCATTCACCCCCAAAGTCCTTGGCGCCACTGCACATCCTGGCCCAGCGAGAGAACGCCAACGGCCGGTGAGATCTTTTGCTAGCTGTTGACAGTTTAGCTTGACGACTTCCAATAACCTGGGGAATTTCAGGGGGCGCAGGCGTATTTTGCTGGCCACTGGGCGGCGCAACACACACTGAATGGCGGCGCACGCATGCAAATCTTCCAATTTTTCCGTCAGATTGTACCCTAAACCCCGATCCTCACCGTGAGCGAGCGATCGATCCCCCCAAGAGAAAAGAAAAACTCGTCGCAGCGCAAACCCTTTTTTTTCCTTCGCTCTTTGTCGCTGTTGGTAGAACTGGCTGCGTTCGTTGTGCAACGACCGTTTGCGACAACCCTTTTTCGCTCTGCCGTTTCGGTACCCGCTGCCGTGCATCCCGTAATCTGCTGCTAACCAAATAAGGTAAGCGGGGTCTAGGGTGGGAAACTCCCAGTTTCATGCACAACCGCCTGCGACGTCACCACATGCCAGGCACGAGCCGTCTTTTTGCGCCCACTCTCCCATGTAGCTATGAGACGACTTATCGATACTTTCCATGACAGGGAACCATGGAGCACTTGAGAGGCACCAGAAGGCGCATATTCGGTATGACAACGGTCAACAACACTTGTAGGCCCGAGTGTATGTGCGGGCGGCCCGAAGTGAGGATCCACCCCCCGGAAATTGGTGCGCGATGGCGACAAGTCCAGAAGCCGAGGGGTGAGCCATTTCATTCCTGGCGATCATAAGAGTGAGTTGGACACTGGACAGTTACAATGGTATAAGTTGCTATGTCCAATGCGAGAAACCGAGGATCAATGATACCAGTGGACAAGTTACTGCCAGTGTACGCCCATAACAGATATGGTGGCTTTTACAAAAACTGGAAATCTAAACCCATGCCTCACTTCTACACAATACATCTTAATAAATACCTGTCATCAAAACTCCCCAGACGTCCTCCATTTACGGAAGATCCGGCTTCTCGATCTCACCCAGATTCTATTCGTGTCATAGCTCAACAAGCACAAGTCCGCTGTCGCGATTGATGAAATGAAATAGGTTCTCCCCGCTGGACTTGCCATAGTACCTATGTACTGTGAACATGGTACGCGTGCCATACATTTCCAAGCATGGCAAAGTGGGTAATACACGAGACGGCGTACTGTATACTGTACAGGGCATGAAAAACAATTTCATCCCTTTACAGCGTTGAATCCTCGTCACGCCGACTTATACACCGAACAGCTCGCACCATCTGACCTATTCCATGTCATCACAGTCTCACAATGCACTGCTAGGTAAATGTTTCATCTGTTCATTCGGCTCAAGAAATTCTCTTCATTCAACGTCTGCATGCTGCGAACCGAGCTCACAGCGACATTCCATTGTATCATCTGAGATCTCACCAACTTGGCACATTGAAGAGAGCATTAGCAACCTCGAAACCGTGCATAGTACAGCTTCTGTCTGGTCGGCTACTTTCAAGTCGCGACGAGTCAGACAAATCCCCACGCATCTTCCTGCTTGATTTGGAAATCTTCGGCTTCAAGACTATCGCCCCTGGATTGCTCTTCCGCCTGAGTATCTTGCTTGCGGTGATCCTTTTTCGGTGTCGCCTTCTTGTTCGGTGTCTCTTTCTGACCTGCAGCTTTGCGTTTCTTAGGAGTTGCCGGTGCTACAGCCAAAATCAGTACTACAAACGTGAACAAGAGTTGCCAGCGTACATACCGCTCTTTTTAGGAGGAGGAACTGGAGGAAATTCCTCGCCGTTCTCCAGACGTTGCTTGAGCTCTTTGGACTTCGCGATGATGTGGCGGAACTGATGCTGGAAGCTGGAAGCAGTGCGCTCGCCGTTGATAGACGACATCATGTCGTACTGGGCACCAGTAATACTCGTCGAGCCACCCGTGGCCATAAGAACGGCGATGCAGTCCTCGAGGACATCTTTAGAGGCTGAAGGCGCGGTCGTCTTCGGCGGCATTTTGCGATGGATATTGAAGGTTGTACCGGCGGTATAAAGTGTCGTATCGTGATGACAGTGGACGGTTGGAGAGACAGTGACTAGACTTGGAAGACAAAGCTAAGTAGACAGCGTGCCAGCTACTGCAACTGCAGATGAAGTAAAGTCGTTGTCTAGCTCAAGCAGCGGTGAAGGGGAGAATCGGTAGTAGGCTTGGTGCGATAGCTGCTCACTTTCACCTCGCCATACCCCTCTTAATTGCGGTAGCTTGACTGAGTCTTCCTGATATTTGCAGACTATAGAAGACAGACCCTGGTGGTTCTGCTCTCTACTCCTGAGCTTTCATGGTACTAAACAGTACTGCACAGTATTCCGCACCACTATTGTAGACTACACTGGTCCAGACTGGCGTGGCACACGAACCCTTCGTTTGCATGCGACCTGTCACATTTGTAGACCGCGTGACGCATGCTTCGATGCATGCCAAGTTGGCCATAGAAGAAAGTGGACGAGGACAGAAGGAGTCATTCACATGCACTCCTGTTACTTCAAAATTATGAAACTCTTTACATAAGATCGAATGGATGAGCCCTCAACCTCAAACTGAACCTCTCTCAGACCTTCACCCAATCACCCATCTCGATCAATATGTCTCGTTGCACCTTCAGTTCTCTGTCCATGACAGCTTTGTTCGGGTTCCCTATATTTCCCTTAAGCGCCTCAATCATCTCTTCAGCCTTCAGCCTGACACTTCTCGTAAATGCACTCTCTGCACCATGGCTGAATCTCGCCGCATCCAATACCTGCTTCACAAGCATCATGGCAATCAACCCCATATTCGCCTCTGGAGCACCAACACCTTCTTTCAAACTGGCAAGATACGCAGCCAACATAGCCATCTGCCACGTTTGCACTACCCGCACAGGATGGAATGGTATCGGATATAGCTTTGGCAGAATGTACCTGTATCGCTTTGCACATTGTGCCCAGGCTTCTGTGAATTTGCCCATTGAGAGCAGGTTCACAATCAGGTCATCGCGAAGTGCGGCATAAGGCTGCCGATGGAGCGGCCAGAGCTTGGACTGTTGACAAAATTGCATGACATCCTGGATAGCTTGCACAGCTGCCTCTGGGCTCTGTAGCTGCTGCGCCCTTTCGTACTCGGCGAATGCCTTGCCTTGTAAAGCGGCGATTTTGATTTCCTCTTTTGAATCACCAACATAATTGGAGGGATCCTGAGCAAGTGCCTCACGTGTAATGATAGCGTCTGCGGCGTGATCCATCTCATTGGGTAGATTCTCCGGCTCGATTGCCCAGTTGTCTTCGTCGAGAGTGGCTCCCTTCTGGCATTTTGTACATTTGCAAACGAAGAACCAGCGCGCTTTTAGCTCACTTTGCCGTCGGGAGAATGGATTCGTGGTGTCGATATAGGAGATGTATACCTCTTCACCTTTCTTGATGGGTCTTAGAGTTCGAATGCTGGTCTCGGCTCCATCCATCATGATGTAGGCGTTGGGGTCACAGGAGTGATTGATATGGCCCAACGTCGAGTCTAAGACAATGCCCAGAGGGTCCAAGGTTGGCGTGATGAGTGTGAGAGAGTTTGTGAGTGTCTTGACTACATCAGCGTAGGTACATAAAAATATACTTCTTCAACTTACCCTCGCATACATCGCTGCCACGAAGTCTTTGTCGAACATCCCCTGCGTTAATGAGAATTGGCTTGCTCCCATCGCCATCAATTCAATGTTAGGGTATGAGCCGTTTTTCTTGAAGTCGTCAATGTGGGACTGCAAGCGACACAGTTGTTCCCATTCATCGTCCGAGATGAGCCCATGCTTTCTCCTACTCAAAACCTCCATACATGCAAGTACGGCTTTTGGTAATTCTTTGTCACCCAAGGCTTTGAAGACTTTACACTCGTGCTTGTGTCCACGAGACCAAGCTTCTTTTTGGCAATTCTGTGACCTGTCAATACTAGATATGAATCATGAATCCAAATTTCACGTACCTTACTGCAGTACCTAATTCTTTGACATCCTGCGCATTTTGACACTCTCGTCTCTTCGGGTACGTACAGCCTCGTACCGGCAGACGCACCCTCAGTCCAAACAAAACAGTTTGCACATGTATCAAACAGTCGTACAGGATCCAGTGAAGCAACAAGTGGTCGTTTGAAAACAGCAAGTTGCTCTCCCGGTCCAAACTTTCTGCCCGCGAAAAGACCGTAACCAGTGCTCTCGCCTCGGCTGTTCACGCAGACGTCACTTTTGGCAATATAATATGCTGCAGGTGACGAGACACTGGACGCGGTCTGGTTTGGCATACTTCTTTCTGCACTGTTGCGGTAAATTGTGTATCATCACACTGTTGTCGCCAACAGGCGTTACCTAAGCTGGGTTTCGCTAAAATTACTAGCGCAGACGCGGTCACTACGGTAGCGGGTGTGGGCACTATCGGTACAGCTCCCTCTCTTCACATGCATTATCAAAGCTCATACGTTCCATCAACGTCAGTCTTCTTCGTACTTCAGGATTATGGTCGAATGTATTGGTGATGTTATTAAATTGTCTCATCTTTAGTACCTGTCATAAAATTGTGCTCCGCCATATCCCAACATCGTTCTCAACGCGCTCCCGGTACACCAAAAGGGCCACTTTCTCATTGACAAGAGTGAGGAGCATTGCAGTGGATGCTGATCACTCGAAGAGAAACTTCGAGAGCTATTGACTTTACATGTCTTATTGTGATCATGCCCCTGATTCCTATTCTTGAAATTGATCCTCGCCACCTGTTGGTCTCCATAGCTTCAACTTGTCAAAATGTAGGAAGGCTTGCGACAACTTCTGAACACGAAAAGCTGCAGGAACTTACTCTATGAACATTTATTTGAGCTGAAAGGACTTTCAAAGACCAGTGCCTATAATACGTATCGAAAAGATGGTTTCTGCAACCTGTTAGTATCTTGTGACAAACCCTGATCAGGCAATAGCTTACCTCAAAATCAGTGCGATCAATGTCTGCAATATCGCTCTCCTCCAGAGAAGCGTCATGGTTTGCTGACCAGCGCTCTCTTTTTTTCCCACGATACTTCAACAGCAATCGTAGGCATGCACCAGTTAGCATTTGCCCGACCGCACAGGAAAGGATGACCTTGCAGCCGGTCGGATACAGAGGAGCCTCATCGGCGAGGAATGCGTGTGGACCTATGATATTCCCAACACAGTACGCCGTAAAAACGATGGCAGACGCAGTGATGCGCTTCGTATATCCTCCAAGGTTCGTTGCTGGCATTTGAAGTGCGAGGACGAGTGAAGCGACAAAGGACCCGACGAGATAATATCCGAACAGTACTCCTACTTTGAAACGCGTTCGGTCCAGTTTCCATATCAGACAAGTGCCGATAATCGTTGGAACCAGCCAAAGTATCATCACCGTAGTGCGATGGTTGCGGAACTTCGTTGCAGTCAGAGTTCCAGTCAATATCCAAAAGACTTGGAATGCGCCTTGCGGAATCCCCAACGCAGTAGTCAACAATGGGTCAGTGACTAGCCCTTTGATAATGAGCTTTCCAAAGTTTGACATGCCCCCATTGATGACTTCGTTCAGGAGGACGAAAATAGTCAGTAGCCAAACCTGTGGATCGCCAAAAGCTTCTCGGATCTGATACCACTGGATAGTCTTGTTGAGGATACCAGTGCGAGCGAGACGACCACGACCGACCAGAAGTGCACGCTCTTCGAGAGAGAACCATCTGGCACTGAGAATGCTGTCGGGCAAACAAAACAGCAGCACGCAACCCCACAGAACCGTGACACCACCACATAGAAGAAAGACGGCTTTCCAGACTGGGAAACTATCAATCTGACCAACCCCATAGCTGAAAATGCCCCCCAGCATCGAGCCAATGCCATTGCATGAATAGAAGATACCTGCTCGGAACGGTTGCTCTTCTCGAACATACCTACGTGGAGTTAGCAGGCCCTAGCAAGGTACTTCGATCGCGCCTCCACTGAGGAGGGTAGTGCACATACCACATGGAGACCATCATCATGAAACAATTAGTGATGGGAGCCTCGAAGACTCCTAGTAGGACTCGGCAAGCTGAAAGTCCTGCAAAGTTGCTACATGCAGACGTGACCAACAAAACGATACCCCATGATAGAACACATCCCGCCATATCCTTTCCCATTCGCGTCTTTGTGCCAAGTAAACCCATGGGTACTCAGAGATCAAGTACGCAAGATAAAACATGCTTGCAAACCAGGAGTATTGCGATTGAGTGGTGCCGGTGCTTTCGAACAAGTCGAAGACGGCGGCATACGACAAAGCCTGCTTGTCGATGTACTGCAGAACATATGTACCGGCTAGAAGGGGTAGCACAATAAGATCGATCTTTCTCACGAGCCGTTTGTTCTTCTGTTTATCATTCACAAGCTCAGCCAAGTATTCTTCGGTGATGTGGTTGTCCAGGAGAAATGTCGCTGACTCATCGATGTTTTCGACTTGTCCTGCTGTCAAGGACTTGGTGGCTTCGAGGGTGGGTGCGTAGACTATGTTTTCTTCAGGTATTTTCTTTTCCTCCATGTTGACATTCAATCATGCGATTAGACAGTAGTGCTCGGTCCATTCTATCAGTCGTCTGTGGGTGTGTCATCTTATACGCTTTTTCCCAGACCAATGGTCAGTAAAGCATCCTTTGAATATCCTCGGATAGATGCACATCTTATCAATTACCCCGCTATGACATGAGATATTGTAAGTAGCGCTACAATGATCTACTCTGATTTATGGGGAAACCTGCTGGATCGCTAAGGGGTTACCCACTCAGATCACGTTCGGTGGCTACAACAAACTCCGACCGACTATCATCCGATCTCGGCTACCGCATTCGCAAACGGCATATCTCCTGCGTATATAGTTATCAAGCTTTATGTACACTTAAAACCAAATTGACAAAAGACAGAAGTTGCCTGTCCAGATCTAAGATCCACCAATTTTTCTTCAGTCAATATGTCTTCTTATTCTACATCCCCGACTCCCACAGTTAAGCTTGCCCAAGGAACAGTGGTAGGTACAACGCTCGTAAACGGCAATTTACCCGACATCGAAGCATTTCGAGGCATCCCATATGCCATTCCTCCAATAGGCGATCGACGTTTTCGAGCACCAATTCCCGTACCTCCATCAGATGACACGATAGATGCTTCCAAGTTTGGACATGTTGCGCCGGGCAAGCCATTGTTCCATGGAGGACCAGCATATGAGTACAGTGAAGATTGCCTGACAGCCAATGTCTTCAGAACTCGTCGATCTCAAAAGGAAGACTCGGAACTATGGCCTGTGGCTGTGTACTTCCATGCCGGTGCCTTTAATCGAGGGACATCATCAATGTACAATGCCCCGTCTTTTCTCGCGCACTCTGGCCAGCGACTCATTGTTGTAACATTCAATTACCGGATCGGCGCACTAGGGTTTCTGCCATCCACATTGAGTGCTGAAGAGGGCGTGCTTAATCTGGGATTGAAAGACCAGGCTTTGTTGATGGAATGGGTGAAGGATAACATTGGAGCATTTGGAGGAGATGCAAACAACGTTGCCTTATATGGTTTATCGGCCGGCGCACACTCAGTAAGAAATGCATGACCGTGGATATCATCTTGAGAGTAAGCTTACCAGCAAACCTAGATTGGCCATCACTTATTGCGTGATGAGGATCCGCAAAAGTCACCGTTGTACCATAGGGTAATTATGGAATCTGGCGCTCCTACTTCTCGTGCGGTTCGGCCATACAATGCGCCTACTCACGAGCAGCAATTCTCAGATTTCTTGCGCGAGGTTGGATGTCCTTTAGGACTATCGTCCAAGGACACATTTGCATTTCTACGACAAGCTCCAACAGAAGTCATTCAAGCCGCCCAGATCAAGGTGTTCAACAATTACAATCCATCCCTATCGTGGGCTTTCCAGCCTGTCATTGACGGCGAGATGATTCCTCGACCACCCATAGAGTCCTGGCGTCTAAATAAGTGGCGTAAGGTCCCGATCATGACTGGCTTCACTCGAAACGAAGGATCAATATATATTTCCAAATCTGTATCGGAGTCCTCACAATTCACGCAGTTCTTCGCAGAATTGTTGCCTCTTCTATCAAGCGAAGACATCGAGACGATTCGAAATCTCTATCCAGATCCGCTGGAGTATAAAGACTCGCCATACAACGAGCAGCTCAAAGGCACAGGCGCTCAATATCGCCGATTGGAGGCCGCTTACGGACACTACGCGTATGTGGCGCCTGCCCGTCAAACAGCAGAATTAGCATCCACGTCAATGGGCAAGCCAGTATACTTATACCAATGGGCTCTCGAAAGCACCAAGCTAGACGGGGCAAGGCACGGCGACAATATGTACTACGAGTCATGCGAGCCAAGTAAGACGAACATCTCAGAGTCTCAGAAGCAACTCGCACTCGATGTGAATTCCCGAATCGCGAGTTTCTTGGTCTCAGGAGACCCGAACACGCACTTCACTCAAGACGGGCCAAAGTGGGAAAGGTACGATGTTCGACAGCCAAAAGCTATGGTATTTGGGCTAGAGAATAAAGAACTCGTTGGTGGAAAGCCTGGGCCTTCATCGGTGCTGATGGATGATGATTGGGCAAGGAAGGAAAGTGAGTTCTGGTGGAGTAAGGTAGACATATCGCAGCAGTAGAACATCATGCTCTCGCATTACTCATCGTTGCATGATCTTACTTGAAGAATCGGTACATCAGGATTAGCATATCAAGCTCGTCAAATATCTGCAATTCTGGTCCTGAATGTGGGTATCCAGCCACCATTGTTGGCAGGACTACAGTTGTCTGATGGAAGTCTTCCTGAGGCCATTTGTGAGGATAACACTGCAAAGTTATTTGTCATGGATGTGCATCTCATTTTCTATTAAAAATTGCGAAATCATCGATTAGTAGGAAACAGAGTCACAGTCTTTTGAAGGACGGTATTCATGTGTTGACATCATTCAATAGTTTATTGCCCAGGCCAGAGGTGGAAAGCTCAATCTCTAACCATCTTTTCTGAGATGCAAACTCTATAGCCATCGAGCAGGCTTTCAAAAATAGCAGGCAATCCTGCGGCGGCTAGCTATAAGATGTCTTGTGCAGCACAACCATAAAGCTCCAGGCGTCGCGCCAAGAATTCGAATCCATACAGTCCAATTTCCTTTAACAGCGGCCTATTCACCGTCTGGCCTTCCTGTACTAACACTGGTCCAGGTGTTATTCGCTTATCCGCATCTGCCTCAGCTAAGAAGACCACCAGTAGCTGGTCTGAATCACTTAGTGCTGCAAATGACATAGTGCTGTACACATATCGCCGCTTGAAAGCAGCCACATCCCACTGCTGTTGTCGAGCTCTTTGCTCTCGCCCGGCCATTTCGGCGACATCTCTGAAGATAGCTTCATCGTGTACACGCACGCGCTTGATGCGTATCGCACATCCAAGAGCCTTGCTTAGAGGTGCTTGAAGAGCATTGAACATAGCCGTGAAGTGCATGCTCACACGCAAGAGGGCAGCCGCAAAGGCGGCAACCGCAGAGGGATGTATATGGGGCATGGCGATGAAATGCAGCCAGTCACCTTCGGGAGCAAGGTGGAAAGAACGTATCAGCCAGGGTGGGATGCGCTCGAGCACAGTGATGATACAGTCTTTGTTATAGCGAGTCTCGAGACCCAAGGCTGCAAGTGAGCCGCGCAGTCGAGTTGCATTAGCGAGACAATAATCGCGCGTGGCTACGAGAGCTTCTGGATGGTACAGCTGCTGGAAAAGCCAGGTCTCGAAGATGATGCGTGAATCAACGGGCGTAGCTGTCGGGAGGGCACTCGTATGAGGACTATAGCAGATAACTTCTCCTGAGACCATGATGCCATATGCTTTGTGATGACTAATGGTCAAGCCTTGGACAACAGGCAAGCCATCACGAGAGTCCAGACCGGGAGGCCCCAATGAGACACTGTCAGGGGCAAAGCCAAGGTCGAGGGCACCATCAACATGAATGTAGTCAACCTCAGCCCCAATGGTTCGTAAGGCACTACGAATGCCTTTGATTTCGTCACGGCCGCCGATGAACGTTGTTCCAATGTTTGCGAAGAGTATCACTTCGTGCTTATTGCCGCGTATGGTACAGTGGTCTCGGTCCCTGACAACTTGCTGAACGAGGCGAGGAATTTGCATACAGCCATATTCATCGACGGGAATCTCTGCGAAGCGTGGCCGCTTGTCTTCACGCCAGATACTCGTAACATAATCGCTGTCACGTATCACTTTCTTGACACTATAGTGGGTAGCCGAGGAGTAGTAGATGTATGCATCGGGATGTTGAGACAGCGCTGTGTGTATACCAACACGGTTGCCCATGGTACTACCAGTTGTGAAGCAGCCGGGAAAGGAGCCATGTTCGGAAGGCGTCAGACCAAAGCTGGATTTCCGGGCACTGAGAATCTCTTTTGCGCGAGCATCCGTCCAGATCCTGGGTATATTGAGAGCCAGAAAGTGTCCTATGATAGGGCCGAGAGCGGAGTACGGGGCCTGATTCAAAGGATAGCCACCAGAAGTTTTCCCAACGACGCGAAAATGATCCACTGCAGACTTGATTGTAGCTGTAATCTCCTTTGCGACAGGAAACTCGTCCTGCAATGTGGGAATCCAACACTGAACATTTACTGACAATTTGAGGCCACTCAGAACACTACCGAGTTTGAGCGCATCATGTATCGTAGCACTGGGCTGTACTGTGGCCAGGTAGGCTACGAGGTTGCGCTGCAAGCGAGGAGTTAG